TTGTATGGCCAGGGGCAGCCTCTTGTGAAAAGCCCAACAAGGCAGTGAGGTGCTCAGACTACTGCAGGCCGCAGAGCAGGTAATTCACCAGCTCTGATGAACCCTGGGCTGGGTGGGAGGATGGGGTCATTGACAATCTCTGTTCTTTTGATCTCACAGCAAGATTCGGGGTTCTCCATTTCTTCCACTCCAGAAAAAATTAACCATCCTCTAGTACTGAAGAGTGTGGGTGGCAAACACCTGATCTGAACCTCTTCCCCTGCTGAGAAGTTCCAATTTTAAAAAGCAACCAAAAAAAATTCTGAGCTTTTTCCCCCATTACTCATGAATGGGGCGGGGGGGAAATGTGTGTTTTTATCACCACAGATTTCTAAATAAATTCTGTCACCTAATTCTGTTAAGTGAAACCTGCAAATCCAAGGAAGTTGAATTCTATTGCTCTACTAAAACCGAGATTTATGCTGGGTTTTGCAACATGGTGAGAAACAAAGACAGAATTAACAAGCACAGAAGTGGCTAATAACATGTAATTTGTCTTCTAGCAGGCGTTGAACAGCAGCCTCCAGCCATCCACCAGGACAGAGAGTTGCTCAGAAGGGCCAGGGTGGATCCTGCTGTTGCTGCTGTTGAACCTGAAGTGCTTCCCCGGGTGCAGCACCCGCACGGAGATGTCTCCACCTGGGAGATGCTGTTTGGTCTGACATCTCCACGTGTGAGATAAGACCTTTTTTTTGCCTTTACTGAAGCTGGTTTCCTAATGTCCCGCAGGAAGCTTCTCAGTGAGGTCGTCCCATTGAACAGGAGGAGGTTTCAGGTTGAGTGGCTCAGCAGAAGAGCACAAGAGGGGGACCCATTCTGTCATCCTGGGGTTCAGAGAGGAATCAGGAGGGCCTGGCTTCCTGTCCATGTTCCCAGGAATGTTTCTACAAATTGCATGGGAAAGGGCATTGACTAAAATAAGTGCAGGAAGCAGCATCTGTGGCCAGTTGCTCTATATTGTCATGCACTTGAGGTGAACCACGCAGAGCTGCGGTATCGGATGCAGCGTGAGGATCTCCTATGGAGTGCGCTGAAAGAAACCTCAGCAACCACAGGAGAGCCACGTGAGTGGGATTCTTCCCCCTTGCACACACACACCAACAAAACCCTCCAGTGAGACAAATTTATACAGTGATGAACTGCTACTCTCAAGGCAAAGGCCTCAAGCGTCTGCAGAGCTTTATTTAAACCCTTACGCAAAGGTCAACAGAGCATTGAAAACAAATGGAAGCAGAAGCTGTGAAAATGAATCAGTGGGGAGTCCCCGGGCAGCTGCGGGGCGGCGGGACCATGCAGAGCCTGTTCTGCCGGGCTCGTTGCGCAGTGGCGCGCACGGCACCAATGGGCCGCACACCACGGCGCCGGCCGGCTGCTGGGGATCCCTCAGCAGAGGAGCGCGCCGGCCACGCAGACACGTGGACGAGGAGCGTCTGGAAAGGGAGAGGCCTGCGGGAGAAAACTGGGAACGAACCTTGGGCCTCCACCCTTACGGGTTCACCGGGTATTCTGGCTTGGTGAAGCGTGGCAACACTTGCACTTCCTTTTATTAGAAACTCCAAATCTCGTTTTTATTCTTAGCCACTTGGGTGCTATGGCAGTTCCTTAAATAGCCTTAAAAAAAAAAAGACAGGAGAGGAAAAGTGTGTCTTCCTCTTCTTCTGTTCTGCAAATATACCCTTCACGTTCTGCGAAAAAGTTGGCTTTGCTTTCAGTTCCTTTAGCTTGCAAAAAAGAAGAAAATTCACTTTACAGTTCAGATAAGGTCTTCAGAATGGCAGTAGACTTGCTGAGAACAAAAACGGCCCTAAAGAAGCTTAAAATGGAGGTTTGTGCCCTCCTTAACGGCAAAGCTGCAGCACAGCCTCAGCATGCAAACAGCAAACGCAAACCTCAGCAGGCCCTCGCTCCCTTTTCCCAGTGCCCACACTGGATCTGGAGCAGTTTTGATCCAGAGTTGAAGTACCAGATTGATCAGCACAAGCACACATCCGTGTAGACACAGACACGTGCAAATGCAGGAGGTAATCTCTGGTTTTAGGATGACCACCAGGTTCTTCTGTTGCGGAGGGCTGTGTACAATGCCCCCAAGTGCTGCTTTCAAACAGCCAAGCCGGGCAGAGGAGACCTTTATTTTCCGTCTCGCGGAGCTACGTGCAGCCTTATCAGCTGGAGCCTCTTCCCTTATCTCCCTCCTCACGCAGGCACGCGCTTGCTCACAGCGCAGACGCTGCTGCTGGCAGACAGACCTTTTGGTGGCACAAAAGGCACTGTTTTTTTCTTGGAAGATAATGGAGATGTCTTGAGGACTCAGGCTGGCCTGACCTGCTTGCTAGTTTCGAGACATTATTTTCATGCCAGTAAGAAATGAGACACAGGAGGGAATGTCGTATCCCCAGCGCCTGTGGCCGCGTTGGTATCGGCAGCGGAACTCGGCATCGCTCAAGCTCCTGAGCGGGCGGGTGGCTGCCGAAACGTGTCCATGTCCCTCCTTAGGCACCGCCGCGAGCATGAGGACGGATGGGAGGCAGCCTCTGCTTGCCGTCCCTTCCTGCCGTACTGCTGGCCAAGCTTCCTTGTGCTATTTTGCTATCTTCGAGAGATCAGAAATCACATATAAATGTGAAAACATCTTGAGTTTCCTCCTCAGAATCATGAGATGACTTTTGACAGGTTACCTACAGAAATGCAGCTTGCAGAGCTTGTCTTGTGCCTATCTGGCAGCTCCGGCCTGCTGACTTTTGAACCTGTTTGATGACTTAAATGAAATTTGCCTGAGGGCTCTTTGTCTCAAAGAGAGGACAGATCTGTGAAGACAGGCAGTGGAGAGAGCAGAGTGTCCCACTGTTCCATGAGCACGACAGCCACGGAATCATGGAATTATGGAATAATTTGCGTTGGGAGAGATGTCCAGAGGCGGGCTGGGTATCGGAGCAGGACAGTGCATTGCGTGCTGCAGATTGCTACAACCACATTAGTAAATGACCGGACAATTCCAGGTGAGGGCAGGAAAACAGCCAGCTCTCCATCTTTAAAAAGGAGTTCGGCATTTGGAAGGCTGCTCTTGCTGAATTCCAGTCCAAGATATAAGCTTAGTATGAGCGTTTCAATGGGAATATTAAAGAAAAATGTTGGAAGACTTTAGCCCACAATGTAAAATGTAGGCGCTCCATAAACTAAAAGTAATTGTAACTAATTTATAGTGTGGTATTAACCTCGGCTTGGGTATTTTTTTACAAGTAAGGACCAGCCCATTCTCCACATGGCTATGGGGTAATCAGCCGGGACAAGC